CAGCGCGGCGGTGAGTTGCACCTTGGGACACCACCCACCTACTATCTGTTGTGTCCCGGTTTGCCCGCGAGGGACTCAGGGTGTAACTGCCTCGAGGGTGCTTGACCAATTTAATACAACGTCGTGTGATCATCCTCCTTGCGCGGAGTGAGGGTTCTACACCCCGCACAACATGATCTACTCGACCACCATTACGGTTACCGCCAAAAAAAAAACCGGTAACCTGGGTGCCTTTTACACGAAGTGAAGCGGCTTGTTTTACAACGTCGTTGCCAAGCGACGAAAACCCAATCCCGATGGCAATACCGAGAGGGGAATTGGGGGGGGGGGCAGAAGCCCCGCTTTCCTCCGAAGCTGTCTATTGCAAGCATGGAATGGGGGGAGGGTACGACATCGCTGTAGATCTCACCTTCCCTTCCAGATTTTCCACGTTGAGCGCCAGCACCGCCGGAAACGCCTTGAGGATACTCGAAACCCCGACCTTGGAGAACCCCAGGTACTCCTTCAGCCAAGTCGTCTTTGGGGCTAGGTTGGACTCGATGTTGAGGCCTAGCATCTTATTTTTTGGGGTGGGGGGGCACAGCGACCATTTGGGCCGGACGGGCGGAGACGGCAAGAGAGTCCAGAAGTTATTGGATTTTCTTCCAAGTTTTCGCGAGTGCGAGGCACCGGAAAAGAGTTTTCGTGTGATTTCCTTCGAAAGGAACCAGAGCTGGCGTCTACCCGAAAAAGTGTGGGAGAAAAGGGGATGGGAGGATGGCAGACACCGACCCGGGAAAGGTAACGCCACTAGTGAATCCCACGGAAGGACTAGCTCGGAAATACTGACATATTCTGCATGGAAGAGTCAATGAAGGTGAAACTTTTCGCAGAACGTTCCAATAGGAGAGAAGGAAGTACTATGACGAGCAAGATTATGTCTTTCACTCGACACCGTATTGGCACACGTCGAAATCGACGACCACTACTGACATTACTACTGAAACTAGAACTTCGGCCTGTTCTACGTTATCTTGATATCTGCGCCTACGCACCAGCGAGGCCCGTCAAAGGCAAAATAAGGAGCGGAGGAAAAGGAAAGGCCCCTCCTCTAGATCGACCAGCTGGCGCAGCAGCAAGAGGCAGGATGCATGAGGGAGGCGACGGGGGCCCCGTGCGCAAGGCGGCGGGGCCCCCGTGAGGAAGGCGGCAGGATCCCCAACGGAACACGTTGTATCCAATGCTTCATCCATCCAGCCCACGCGCTGGTACTGCTCAGGCACCTGCCTGGTACAAACGCTGGATGAACACACATGCCTGAAAAATACAGCAGAGGAACGTATGCCACGCGTTATTGAACGAACTGACGTCCTTGCAGTAGAAGACATATCTGCGGATACCTGGGGAAGCTTGGAGATGACCTTGGCGACGCCGGCGTTGGTCAGGCCTTCCTCCTCCAGCCACACGGCGTGCGCTTCGAGCCGTGTTGCCACGTCGTACCGGAGAATCCCGGGATGGCTCTTGAGCACTCTCACCAGCTGTCGTCGCGGAGGGAGACAGGGGAGACGCCGTGATTGACCAAGAAGAGGCTTACTCCAAAAGAAAGAAAACCACAAAAGAACATGGCGTGAGGCGCTTGGTTGTCTGAACGCGGTTCACGAACCACGGCTCTGCTCCAGACATGTTTCACGCTGGGCGAGTGCTTGCTATGTCGGCCTACGTGGGTCTCGGGAGCCAATCATTTCGTGAATGTGAAGGGTGACTACGCTCGCAACAGGGGTANGGGGGGGGGGGGGGGGGGGGGGGGGGGGGGGGGGGGGGGGGGGGGGGGGGGGGGGGGGGGGGGGGGGGGGGGGTGCTACACACGTCACCGTGAGTGCCGTACCCCCTATGTGAATTTCAACGCGCCAAGAGGTGGGGTGACTGCTTAATCTTTGCACACCAGGAAACTTTGACTGCTGGCTGCAAGACCTTCAACAAGTGCAAACTTGTGCCTTTAAAAGCGGGCGGAAGACAAAAAGAGATATTGGCAGCCACGCTACCACCACCACCCCCCTTTTTGCGCTCGTTCTCCACAATACGGCGGTTTCTTGCTTCCCATCGAGACACGCACAGACACACACAGACACACACGTACCTGCTTCGAAGAGAGTCCCGCCCGTCTCGTCAGCCAGCTCACCACCGATCGGGCCTGGCCCGCGTCCACCGTTAGCAGCAGGGGGTAGGACCGCACCACGGCTGCGACTTCGTCGGCCTTCATGCCCACCCCTTTCCGGTCGAGCATCACCCAGGGGGCGCTCGATCTTCTCCCGTAACCGTCGGTGCCCTTGCTGTGGGGGCAAGGTCGTCGTATGTGTGAGGAGAGGGCGGAGCGGGCCGGGTTGCTGTTCCGTTTCGTCTTTTCTGGGCTGTCGGATCATCGCAAGAAACGGGCGGCGTAATCCTACACCTCGTACACGGCAGTGGTACGAGGCACGGTGTGAGGAAGCATCGATACAGATCAGGTCGCTTTTTTTTCTTGGGAAGTTTAATTTTTTTACAGCACAAGACCTTGCCGGAGGGAACATACTGCTACGCCCTTGTTTCACAATAGGTGTCTGCGATTGCTGAAGGAGCTGTGGCAGCCGATTCGAAGCCTGGACCCGCCATCGCTTCCGACGACTTTGGGTGCTCGCAAGAGAAACAGTACCGAGAGAAAATCTACCTTTCAGAACGAGGAACGGACATAGGGGGGGGGGGGGGGG